ATCTGACACCCTTTGCTGGCCTCTGTGTGAACCAGGCATGTGCATGGGCATGTATCTGACACCCTTTGCTGGCCTCTGTGTGAACCAGGCATGTGCATGGGCATGTATCTGACACCCTTTGCTGGCCTCTGTGTGAACCAGGCATGTGCATGGGCATGTACATGCATGTAGGCAAACACTCATTTTTTAAAAAGAGTATTTTTAGAGGAGTTAAATGCCCTATCCAACACCAAACAGCTATTGGAGATATATATGTGAAACAGGTCCTAATTCTATGTTTGTGGATACTCCTATCACCCTAAAATTGAACTCACTCAAATTTGAGATTTTGAATATTTAATGTTGTTACGTTCGCTTTCTTCAAAATTGAAAGCATGCTTATATTGAAAATACTTGCATGCATAGAAGAATGTGTATAGATGTGAGGAAGTAATAGTGGAGTATAAGAACTAGACAGTGGCCCTTGCACTGTTTTTTCTTACCCATTTTAAAGGGGCCTTAAGACTCAGTTGGAATCATTTGATGTTTTTATGTGTTTTCTCTTCTGTTTGTGATCTGCCATTGAAGTGAAACTATCCTTTCTCTTCTCCTTCCTGCTCCCTCCTCTCATTTTTAAACATAGTATTTTCAAGAATATTAAAGATATTATCCACAAGGTAAAAAATATTAGACAAGCTGTCTTACAGGTTTAGGAAGTTATCCATGTAACACATACTTATTAGGTATATACTTTGTGCCTGGCACGTTCCTAGGCACTACTTTGAATTCAGCAGTTAAGTTAAACAAAGCCCAAACAGTTTGGGTGCTTATATGCAGCTGGTATGAAATACATAAACAGCTGAACAGACAAACACTATTATGTCAGATGGACTGACTACCAAAGTATAAAAGATAACATGAGTATGTGAACAGACTGGTAGTGAGGAGCAGGTTTCTGTTTTGTATAAAGTGTTTGTGGAAGGAATCCCTCTCTAATGAGGTAGAATTCAAGCAGAGCTCTGAATAAAGCAAGGGAATGAGCCGTGAGTGAAATGTGACTGCTTCTGCAGAGGAAAACAGATAAATCTGAGTGTAGGCTTTTGAAAAGTATTGATATTTTTTGTGGTTTAATTTTGTATCTTTCTGCTAATGGTGGGATAACCTTTCTTTGACTTAGCTTCACGTGTAAAGTGAGAGAAATAGCAGTCCAGTGTGCTAGTTTTGCTGTTAAGATTAAGGAGCTACACACACACACACACACACACACACACACACACACACGCATAAAATGTTTAGAGCTATGTCTGCATAGGATTAATGTTTAGTTATCATTAACACAATTTTATAATACTCCAGATCTGTGCTTTTTATTTGAGAAGAGTATAATAAATCTTGTTATTACACAGGGTATCATTTCCTGTGTTCAAGGTCAGCTTAATATCAGTTTATGGCAATTCACAAAAACTACTGATTTCATCTGTACTTTACAGCTCTGTTTTGGTTTACTTTCTGGGGCAGTAGAGTTGATAAAATGAACATAATTCAAATTCTCTTTCATGATCTTCTTACCCTTCTTCTGTGGGGGAAGTTACTTTATTTGAGTCTATCTTGAATAGTTCTCCTATGTGTAGTCTGAATAAATACATGTGGTATAAATTACATGCATAGTAACATTTAAGGTCAAGGTCTTGAATCATAACATAAATTAGAGGCGAACTATTTTAAAAAGAGTTTAATGAAATCTGTGCAACATCCAAAGAAAGAATAATAATTGCCTTGGTTTTAAGTTTTTGTATTCATGTGTTTTGTATGCCATAGAAAGTATGATATACTCAGTGTTAATGCAAGAAACCGTGTTTTGCAATGCCTGATTCCCTTTTTAATCTTTTAAAATATTTTTATTATTTTTAAATTCTGTATATGTATTTTTGTGTGGACACGTGGGTGCGGGTGACCATGGAGACCAGAGATGTCAGATCCCTATAGAAATAGAATTACAGGCAGTGTGAGCCACCTGATATGGGTGCTGGGAATCAAACTAGAGTCCTCTGCAAGAGCAGTGCAGGTTCTTAACTGCTGAACCATCTTTCCACCACTCCGGATTATCTTTTACATCTGTGGTCACAATTTTAATTATTATTATGAACAAATATAAGATAAAGTATCTTAAAATTCATATTTTAAGTTTTGTCTGCCTTGATTATTACTCTTTGTCAGCCATACTTCTTCATGATTATGACGGATGCCAACATTGTAGCTTGCTGTGGGTTTTTTATAGCAATACTGTGGTAGAGAATCAGGTAACTTGATGATGACTTTGTTCAGATGCTGTTTGTAGTTGAAAATAATTTATAACCTTTATAAAGGTAAATTTAAAAATTAGTTTTAAAATATGTAAGCGAAGTATTAAGTTTAGTGAATTATGGCATCATTGGTTTTGTTTTTATTCTTTGATTTATACATTGTTTAGTATACACAGAATGGTTTCTGGAAGCCCTATCCAAGCCCTTTGATTTTATGCATGCTGTAGGCAGGCCTCATGTTTTAAGCCTCAAGTGAATCTTAGTAGACCAGCAGAATATCATATCAAGGTCTCATACATTCAAAGCAAAGGAATAAATCATGATATTACATGGTTGTATCAGTTGACTTATTGCTGTTTTGTGACCATAGGTAGAAGGACTGCTGTTTAAAGCCATGTCATTGGTTCTCAAATCAGTCAGGCGTGAAGCCTTGTCATATGCCTCTGTAATTGTACCTCTCCAGACTTCCTCTAACTAGTCAGCTGGGGCTGTGCATTTTGTCTCAAACACCCGGCTGGCCAGCATCTGACAGGAGCTTTCTCATCATCCTGTCAGTAATTTGTTAACTAGGGTGTATCTTTGGTTTATAGAAGTAGGTAAAAGGGTTGTATATCTTTAAAGCAGATGTCTAAACGTTAGCTACTATTTCGACCAACATTCAGTTGATAAACATCATTCTCTTAAGTCTGAGGCACATGATTTACAGAGAGACAATTGCGTATAGTGCATATTATTTCTGGAATATTTAAAGCAAGCAATATGTGGTGAGTGGTGGATTGTGTTCATAAACTGTATTTCCTTCCTTTGTTACAGCTGCCCCCAGGCATTTAAGTATATGTTTTTCTCTCACCTTCTCATCAATTCCATCAAGGGCATATGCAAAAAAGGCATTGTATGATCCCCAGAAAATCAGATATTAAAGGTAGTTTTTGTAGGTTGGGCTGAAAGGGAGTCCAGAGTATTTTACTCTCTTCATTTGGATTGTATATATTCTTGATTTGTCTCACAGTGGGACCTGTGCCAGTATTTAAACTGAAACCCAAAGCACAGAGAATCTTTCTGGAGATAAAGATTGAAAAGCTGAGAACAAAGAGTGCCCAGGCCTGCTTCCTGGTTAAAGTTATTGAAGTGTTTTTGCTCCACACTTTTAAGTCTGCAGTAGAGTAGTGCAGTTAAAAATTATTATATGGACCTTTCCTAGGGGTCTTCTGGGACCAAGTTTTAGATTTTGAATTTGTTGTACAACCTATAGAAACAAATTAAGTCAGCTGAAAATGCAGATAACGACTCTAATTTACCACTGTATTATTTGATATATACATTGTCATTCCGAACATTGTATTATCATTCAGCACTAAGTGACGTGCCTGACAAAGTGTGGAAATGGGAAGTTGAGGCCCTTGTGAATGCTCTGCAGGAAGGCATGTGTGCAGCTGGTTGGAGGAGGCCTTTTAAGGAAAACTAG